ATTAAACAACAAACAGAATAAAGCCTCGAGCACTTACTGGACAGTCTTAGAAAACATTCAATGACATTTTCCATATTTTGCCTCCGGTAAAATGATCGTCTTTGAACACTCATTGTTCCCCTTTATCTAGTTTACTGACATGCTCCTAATAAAATATATCTGTCTAAACCATCAGAGCACTGACAGTATCCACGTGATAAACGTTTTTTTATTATGTAGGTCACATGACTTTGCTCCCAAAACTCATGGCAATGTCTTTCGAAAATTTGTCGGATCTTCTAATAGTTTTGACAGAGAAATTTTTTTGTCAATGGTAAAATCTAACGACATTTATCACCAGAAGTTTACTTTAATAAATCATATCGAGTCCAAATCTTTATAGCATTATACGTATTACAAAACTAAATATTTTTATAAAATGTATAAAATGTAATTATTAGAAGGCATAAAATATATATTAATAAAGCTTAGTAAATAGCAAGTTCGAACGATGTAATATATTTTTACAACTCAGTAAAATATATCATCAAATATTTTATTATCTTTTTATCCGAGTTTTTAAAAACTTTTGATATATTACCAAGCTCTGGTAATAATCATGAACTATATTATTAAACTATTACTGTATAGTATCCGATGGCGTGTTATAGCTTCATGAGGTCCAGGCGAATTTGAATTAGGGGGCCCCATGTACAGTGTTGACTTCGTTTTTCTTCGGGAGAATTTTTTAGGGAAAATATTTTCTTATAAAAGACTCGTTTGGGTCCACTGTCGATGGGAGCCCCGGGCAATTGCCCTTTTTTGTCCAAAGGATAACGCGTCACTATCAGTATTAAATGTATTCTATGTTAAAAAAAACCAAGTAATTGACTTTATAGAGTGTTTTAGCAATACAACTTCAGTGTTATTTAAAAAAATAATAATAAATATAAAAGTTTAATAATACAAAGATAAACATTTTACCTTGAAACGCTTCAGTTATTGCAAAATCGTTTCAGAGGCATCAGACATTGTTAAAGATCACGAACCCCTTTGGCTAAGAGATGAAATGATTAGAAGTCTTTTATGATTGAAAGCTTCAATTTATTCCTGAAAATAACAACTTCTAAACTAATGAAACTATAATTTAACAATATTTTAATCCACATTAAATTTGTATACAATCATAAAATAATCATCAATAGAATTGCAGTAACAGCAAACGTACTGTATTTACCATGAAAAAATAGATGGGATAAAAGAACTTTTACTGTTTTTTTATAGAAAATCAATATTCTTCTACTTTAAATATTCAAGATAAACCTTTATAAAATATATTTTTAAAGATGTTTAGCTTTTCCTGTTTATCTAAAGCAGAATAATAGCAAACAAAATATAATTACTTTTAACTTTACAATAAGTGATTCGGTTAATCACTCTATCCATTAAATTTGCATAATTGGGATGACATTTTTACACGAAAATGGTTAAGAAAAAATAGATTAAAGGAAAGAATTTTAAAAAAACTCGAAAAAATTAAATTATCTGCAAAAATTCATCTCGTAGTTTCAATATTTTTTAATCGAACTTTTTTGAAATATCCGATAGACTGAAGGAAATTAAATTTTTCATCACTATAAAATTGATTCTGAATATTTTCATGTATTAAGAAAATTGAACTTACTTGATACTTATGTCGAATATTGTAGATCATCAGAATTTTAAAGAAAAATACATCAGAAAATTCAGTTACTTCATTGTGGTTAGTATAATGGTGTATCTGTATCTCTTTTCTTACTTCAATTCCTAACAGTCGGTTATATTTTATAGATCATAAAATATTATAAAAGAAATAATAATCTATAGAGAGAACTTATGAATACAAAGAAAGATATTTGTTATTTTTATGATACAACATTTTATGACCACGAATTTTATATGACAAAAGAAAAAAATTCTTATACATTATCCTATAAAAATAAATTCGAATTTTACGATGTTTCATTACTCTTATCGTAAGAACGTAACACAGTTTTTTTTTTAAAAAATTACAATACGTTTGATTAATATTTTAGTTTTAAAGCTTCCAAACGTCTGCTTAATATTGTAAAATTATATGAATTAAGTTTTTATAGAATAATTAAAAGCTAAACTTTTGTTTAATACTGTTTTAGTTTTATCTAAGAAGTAGAAATGATTTATTTTACTATATTCAAGTTATATGAATTGTTATAATACAAAATTACAACATTAAAACAAAGGTAATGTTTATTTTTTTTCCAGTAACAACAGTAAACGTCTTAATGGAGAACATACGAAAACACAAGTTCTCCTTGTTCTTGTAAACATGAAATTCACTAAAATTCCATAAAAGGGATAGTTGACACATAATTACACATCAGACTTAACAATAACTGCTTGCAAATGTTGATAAAATTTGATTTTTTTTCCAAATTTTGAAATGTGAAATATGAAAATTTGGCACAATTTTCTGTGTACAAATTGTATCAACTTAATACTTTGAATAGTTTCAAAGAATTTCTATAATTTCAAGTATAAATTCTGTTTTAACCATGATAAGAACAGGAGTATTGTTTTTAACTCGAATTAACCGAAAAAATCAGATTATTATACATATAAAAACTAAAAAAAAAATCATGCAACAATTACGTTAACAATTAATATTTCATAAAATTTAAATCCCAATTATCTACTTAACAATGCATTGGCGAATTTGTTATTAAATTGTTTTTCTTTGAAGTGTTATTACAGAAACAAATCTTACAGGCACTCACTATGCGAGTAGAATAAATAGCTAATTGCTTAAAACGCTATAAACAGACATACTGTAGTAGTAATCAATCTTGGTAGCAAAATTGAGATAAAACATTACTGTCTCTTTGTAAATCACAATAATTATTCCTGTACACTATTTCTCATCATTAAATAATACATTCATTGTTGCAGCACACTGTATATACACAAAATAACGAACGGCCAGTATAATCAAATATACAAGGCGTACACCATTACAGTCCCCACATCCAGAAATCTTTTTTTTTATTTTTTTATTTTTTGAGGGGATAAGAAAAATTGTTTATTGGATCATTGCTAATCCAAAAATCTTCTGTCGTTGTAAAGTAGATATTAAACTTGTTTATGAACACGTAGACGTTATTTATTTGTTTTTATCGACTCTGGAACGTATTCTGTCAATGAAATGAATGAAAACCACGAGGTCAAACAAATAGTTATTCGTTGGCATTACAAAGGAAGACGATACTTTTATCCTTCGTTAGTCTCCATTTGTTGAGAAGGAGGAACTTTCTAAAAAAATAACAATACAATAATCTTGTCATTGAATGCTATTTTAATATAAAATTTTCTTTTCAAGAATTTTTATTTTTTTGAATATGAAATTTTATTCATTAAATATATATTAATAAAGCTTAGTAAATAGCAAGTTCGAACGATGTAATATATTTTTACAACTCAGTAAAATATATCATCAAATATTTTATTATCTTTTTATCCGAGTTTTTAAAAACTTTTGATATATTACCAAGCTCTGGTAATAATCATGAACTATATTATTAAACTATTACTGTATAGTATCCGATGGCGTGTTATAGCTTCATGAGGTCCAGGCGAATTTGAATTAGGGGGCCCCATGTACAGTGTTGACTTCGTTTTTCTTCGGGAGAATTTTTTAGGGAAAATATTTTCTTATAAAAGACTCGTTTGGGTCCACTGTCGATGGGAGCCCCGGGCAATTGCCATTTTTTGTCCAAAGGATAACGCGTCACTATCAGTATTAAATGTATTCTATGTTAAAAAAAACCAAGTAATTGACTTTATAGAGTGTTTTAGCAATACAACTTCAGTGTTATTTAAAAAAATAATAATAAATATAAAAGTTTAATAATACAAAGATAAACATTTTACCTTGAAACGCTTCAGTTATTGCAAAATCGTTTCAGAGGCATCAGACATTGTTAAAGATCACGAACCCCTTTGGCTAAGAGATGAAATGATTAGAAGTCTTTTATGATTGAAAGCTTCAATTTATTCCTGAAAATAACAACTTCTAAACTAATGAAACTATAATTTAACAATATTTTAATCCACATTAAATTTGTATACAATCATAAAATAATCATCAATAGAATTGCAGTAACAGCAAACGTACTGTATTTACCATGAAAAAATAGATGAGATAAAAGAACTTTTACTGTTTTTTTATAGAAAATCAATATTCTTCTACTTTAAATATTCAAGATAAACCTTTATAAAATATATTTTTAAAGATGTTTAGCTTTTCCTGTTTATCTAAAGCAGAATAATAGCAAACAAAATATAATTACTTTTAACTTTACAATAAGTGATTCGGTTAATCACTCTATCCATTAAATTTGCATAATTGGGATGACATTTTTACACGAAAATGGTTAAGAAAAAATAGATTAAAGGAAAGAATTTTAAAAAAACTCGAAAAAATTAAATTATCTGCAAAAATTCATCTCGTAGTTTCAATATTTTTTAATCGAACTTTTTTGAAATATCCGATAGACTGAAGGAAATTAAATTTTTCATCACTATAAAATTGATTCTGAATATTTTCATGTATTAAGAAAATTGAACTTACTTGATACTTATGTCGAATATTGTAGATCATCAGAATTTTAAAGAAAAATACATCAGAAAATTCAGTTACTTCATTGTGGTTAGTATAATGGTGTATCTGTATCTCTTTTCTTACTTCAATTCCTAACAGTCGGTTATATTTTATAGATCATAAAATATTATAAAAGAAATAATAATCTATAGAGAGAACTTATGAATGCAAAGAAANTTTTTAAACAATTAAAATATTATTTTTTTTTAAATTTGAGGATAAATGAATTTTTGTTATAATTACTTATTATTTTTCTAAATAATTGCTAATTTTAGCTATATTTTTAATATTGATACCAGTTAAAGTAGCAATAAAAGCACTAAGAATGAAGCCATTATAAGCCCATGAATATTTACAGGATGTTAGAACAAACTTCTTATCTGTGGAGTTCACACTCTAACAAAGTTAATAGAGTCATAAATATAGTACATTTTCTTATCTCAGATTCTTATACTAACAGAGAATTACCTGTTACTGTTTTCTCATAGGGTATATCCTCAGATTTTGACCCAGAAGATAATCCTTTCCAATGACTAGAAGTCGAGGCAAAGCCATCGTCTGATAAATCCGGTGTAACGTTCACTACAGTCACAAATAAGCGAAAAATAAGTTTAAAACAGCGAAGTTACGTATGTAAATTTTATTTTATATATATGTAAATTCCTAAAATGATATTACATCGATGGTATAGCTCATTAATTGTAAACAGAATTAAGTTAAAATGAGAATGATTAATATTATCAGTAACGCTATACAATAATTCATTACACAACTCATACAAGAGTCATTTAGTAGAAATTCCGTATAATAAGTATAATTATCGCTATTATATTTAATAAATATCCATTTAATTTATACCTGGATAATGATAGATATGGAAATCTGATCTTGGAGGTCTAGGTGTTCTCTTTACTGTTGCATACAATGGTTCATCCACAGACTGAAAATGGAAATTTAATGTTGATGTTGTATAATTGTTGAATAGGGATTTAGCCGAAATGTCAATGTTAACAACAGGATTAATAAACAATTATTCAAATCAACAGAATGTCACTAGGTAACTCTGTTAATTATAATTGTTATATGAACAGAATTCATATTTCTTTATGATAAAATTACAATCGATATAAATCACTCTTCACAATAATTTTAAAGGTAAACATGATTTAATTTTTTGACGAAATAATATTTATATTGAATGTAAGAAAACATAAAAAAATAATTAAATTTAATAATTAATATGCAAATTTTAAACTAGAAACTACAACTATAATAATAAATATTTAAATGCTTGAGAATAGCATTAGTATGTTGCAAAATATAAACAGAATAAATATTTCTTTCATATTTTCACTTAAAATAACAATTATTTAATACTTTAAAGATAATTAACTGTTTTAAAAAGTTTTTTTTAACTTCTAGAGATGGATTAAAAAGTTTTATTACTGAAAATCTAATTAATAGATAGAGTCTGATTTATGTTACATAAAAGTAATAAAATAAGAATAACCAACTATTCAACGTAACGGAATCATTCAACTGTTTTAAGAATTTAATCTTGTTCAACATCTAAAATTCCGACGACGATTGAAGATAGGGGAAAAAGAAGAAGGAAGAAAATAAAACTAAGAAAAAGTCAATGTTTATAAATGGTTTTTACTTATTTTTAAAAGAACAGTGCGTGAATCTCCTTTAGCATCTCTCCAGATTAAATTTATTGCTTTACTATTGAGTCCATTTTCTTCATTTATTGTTCATTTCGCAAATAGCTTGCAAGTAGTTTCGAAATTTAAAGGTAAGAATTATCAATTACTTTAGAACCACCAAATCCAATTCTCTCCTAATCAAATTATTCAATTTTTTTTTACAAAGAAAATGTCACTTTTCAACCTGTAATTAATAGAATTTCAACTTTCATTTAAGAGTTTTAACTCATGAAAACAAATACTTTATACAATTAAGCTTAGATCAAAAGTTTTATTATAATAAAAATTATAATCGTTTTAAAATCTTTCGACTTTTATTTTCATCAAAATAATGAACTTAATAATTATCTTCGAAGACAAAAATATCCACCTACATCAAGGAAGAAATGATATTTTAATGGTTTAAACCTGACTTCGTGATAAATTACGTTAAAATTGCATCTCGAGTGTTTATGAACGTTTATAGAAGAAAAAAAAATCTGTCGATACATTTATCAAATATTATAATTATTTAAATGGGATAAATTTAAAAAAACAAAATTAAAAACCGACTTTTATAAATGTCATTACATATACACGATTATGGATTTTAAACATCATTAAATTTATTTTTTTTTAAACATTAAGGTAAATTTATTACTGTGAAACGTAAAAGTAATAATAATAATAGTAATTACAATAATTATTATAAATTTTAAAAATGTACTTGCTTTATAAACAAAGTCTTTTTTCTGAATTTAAAGTAATAAATAAATGTAATAAATACTTTAAAAGTTTTACTACTTAGAAAGAAATTTAACAATGTATTTTTTTTAATATTTCGAATATGTATATACATATTAAAAATTCGAAGATTTCTTTAAAATTTAATTTTCGAGAATTATTCGAAAACAAAAATTCAATTTTGTAATTTACTTCCTTCGCATAACATTTAATTGAAATGCTTTTTTTTCGAGTAAAATAATTGAATTATCATTTCTAAATCGCAATTACGAACATTTTTCAATATCTCTGGCGTTATTTCTTAATTAGTATCGTTTCAAAACTAGTGTTTTTTTACATCTGATAAGTTATATATTGAGAAAAACACTTATTAAAACGGTAGCGAGTACAATATACGATTATAACTTTTAGATAGTCCAATAAATGAGATTCTAATCTAATTTTAACTGAGATGAAGAAAAATAAGTATTCTATCTAATGATACATTTAAGGAAACAGGAAGAGAGCAGTTCCGTCTCGATAATGAAACAAATATCCTATAGGAGTAACAACGTTATTGCATCATATAGATCCTCGTTTACATCAATTAGAAACAGTTGAAGTGTGCAGAAGTAACTTAATTCGTGCGACTATGCTTTCTACAGCCTTTAATCAATTCTCTGTTAGTAAATGCAATTAGTTTCTATCTCTCTATAAGAAAACAAGATCTTCTCTTTCAGTTAAGTATCTACGACAAATTGGTAATTATAATTTAGAGAAGTTTTTTACTCGTGCATTTAAGTACTGATTTAACGAAAATAAATGGACACTTTATCACGAAAGTCATTCAAAATGATCAGGTAAAATATTTTTGTTTCTAAATATTCTGCGTTTTTATTATAAAAACGTTTCTTCTTTATTCTCAAATTTGATAACATCTTGAAATAAAAAGTATTGTACTACTTTATGAAATAAAATGGAAATTTAAATACAATATGAAAATAATTATTGCGATTTAATAAAAAATTATATTTTAAAATTAAATAGAATAAGAATTAAAAAAAAATTATTTGAAAAACTTGAAAGTAGTGTGTATGTAAGTATGTATACGAGTTTACATAAAATAAGATTTAAATAATATAACATATAAGTATTAAACACTATTTATTCATATGATATATACNTATTAAACACTGTTTATTCATATGATATATATATATATATAATGTGTATGTAGAATATAATAGAATATAAATTTATTATTATAATCAACAATATGCAATCTTCATATATAATGAAGATTGCATATTGTTGATAAATATTTATATATATTATAATTTATAAAAACGTGATATAAGTTCACATATTTTTATAAATAAATAAATTGTTTCTTAAATATTAATATAGTTGAGTATTATTAACTATTTCATGCAATTTTCTTGTAAACATGAAAAATAATTCTAAAATTAAAAAACAAACTAAAATAAAATAGCAAATTTTCTATTAATAGCTATTATCTGGATGATATTCTTCATATTTTCTGAGCAAACTTTCTTGTTCTTACTAAGTCATTATATGGTTTCCCATGACAGCTAATATTTCTCACTTTGTAAAGAACTCTTTCTTTATAGGCTGCAGCAGTAATTCATATTAGAAAAAAAAACCGAAAATAAAATAAAATAAACGTTTAGTGGAGAAAACCATTATATTTAGTCACAAAATACTGTTTAGAAAAATTTTATTTACATAAGTTTATAAAATTTTAAAGAGGCTGAATAGAGAATAATTATAATTGACAACAAATATTCGCGAGATTAGCTTTAAGAAAATAGAGTTCAACCGTCTAGAAAGCTTTGACCTCATGAGAAATGCAACCACCCTTTTTGGCTAAGTGCCAAATGAATAATTATATCAATTTACTAGTTTTCTTGTCATATAAAGTTCAATTTCTAAGACATTTTCTTAGTTTTAAGTTGTCCTATGAGTTGTCAAGTTTGGAATACAGATAACATTGCACAGATATCATTTAAATGATATTTAAGTACTCGACTAGAAAAGTCTTTAAAATATATAAATATTTGTAGAATTTTATCGTCTACTTCATTCAAAATAAACCTGACAATTTATGTAAGTAAATTTCTAGAGAGAAATTTTTAATCTTTGTATTGTTTATATCACGTGATATAAATTCTGTATTAATGTTATACAGTACTTTAAAACCTGTAAAATTTTTATAAATACAAAAATTTTCTTTTGAGATGTAGTATTAATCAATAATTTAGTGATCTATACAATAGAGAAATGTATAATAAAATATAAAAAAATCAAAATGAATTTTAACTTTGCCTGCTTTGAATATCAGACAAATACTTTATACAATTAAGCTTAGATCAAAAGTTTTATTATAATAAAAATTATAATCGTTTTAAAATCTTTCGACTTTTATTTTCATCAAAATAATGAACTTAATAATTATCTTCGAAGACAAAAATATCCACCTACATCAAGGAAGAAATGATATTTTAATGGTTTAAACCTGACTTCGTGATAAATTACGTTAAAATTGCATCTCGAGTGTTTATGAACGTTTATAGAAGAAAAAAAAATCTGTCGATACATTTATCAAATATTATAATTATTTAAATGGGATAAATTTAAAAAAACAAAATTAAAAACCGACTTTTATAAATGTCATTACATATACACGATTATGGATTTTAAACATCATTAAATTTATTTTTTTTTAAACATTAAGGTAAATTTATTACTGTGAAACGTAAAAGTAATAATAATAATAGTAATTACAATAATTATTATAAATTTTAAAAATGTACTTGCTTTATAAACAAAGTCTTTTTTCTGAATTTAAAGTAATAAATAAATGTAATAAATACTTTAAAAGTTTTACTACTTAGAAAGAAATTTAACAATGTATTTTTTTTAATATTTCGAATATGTATATACATATTAAAAATTCGAAGATTTCTTTAAAATTTAATTTTCGAGAATTATTCGAAAACAAAAATTCAATTTTGTAATTTACTTCCTTCGCATAACATTTAATTGAAATGCTTTTTTTTCGAGTAAAATAATTGAATTATCATTTCTAAATCGCAATTACGAACATTTTTCAATATCTCTGGCGTTATTTCTTAATTAGTATCGTTTCAAAACTAGTGTTTTTTACAGCTGATAAGTTATATATTGAGAAAAACACTTATTAAAACGGTAGCGAGTACAATATACGATTATAACTTTTAGATAGTCCAATAAATGAGATTCTAATCTAATTTTAACTGAGATGAAGAAAAATAAGTATTCTATCTAATGATACATTTAAGGAAACAGGAAGAGAGCAGTTCCGTCTCGATAATGAAACAAATATCCTATAGGAGTAACAACGTTATTGCATCATATAGATCCTCGTTTACATCAATTAGAAACAGTTGAAGTGTGCAGAAGTAACTTAATTCGTGCGACTATGCTTTCTACAGCCTTTAATCAATTCTCTGTTAGTAAATGCAATTAGTTTCTATCTCTCTATAAGAAAACAAGATCTTCTCTTTCAGTTAAGTATCTACGACAAATTGGTAATTATAATTTAGAGAAGTTTTTTACTCGTNATATCGAGTATTTAAATATAATTAATTCTCCGCTTTAAATTATTTTTATTATTTTACTTTTTAATGGTTAGATAATTGAGAATGAATCCCATTTTCAGTAGGATTCATTCCATCCTCCCATTGCTTTCATCATGGCATCGCCCTCACATAGTGTGACACTTGAAAATCGATCGACCAACTCATACGAAACAACACAGAATGCAAATGTCCTCTACTCATCAACTGACAATTTAAGAAACAATATGTTAAATTACTGTTGTGCTATTTGAAAGTAATAAAAATAATCATCTACTTATGAAAAATATAAATAGAAAATCATAACAAAAACAATTCAATAGTTACATAAGCTACTTGTATAAAAAATACGTATATATATATATATTTTTTTTTTCTTTTAAACGTTTATTATGCTATAACGCAGATTTCCTTTTCTAGATGGCTTAATAAAGTAGAAATAAACTTTTTCCTCCGTTTAAATTAAATAAAATAAAAAAGAAAAAGAAGGAGAAGAAAAAAATTCAGGTTGAGTGCATCTAAAAGGATGGAAAATTAGATTGATGATATCGAAGAGAATTCTCTTTTACTTTAATTTTGTTTCGGTGTTATTTACCTGTTTACAAAATGTATCGATAGACTTCTGTTCTGCAGATGAAGATAGGCATGTAGTTGCATAAGGCGTTGGATAATAGCATGAATTACTCGCAATCGATTCTGTTTTCTTCATTGAGTTTTTTTCGACTCTTGTCATTTGCACCGATTCCTGTAACTGACACTTTCTATTCCCATAAATGGAACTTCCTAAAAGATATAAAAATAGCAAGAAAGAATTAAACAAAAACAACGGAATTTGTATAGTAACTTGGAATTAACTCGCACGATTAATAGCATTTTGTATTCTTGTTTTCTAATATAGTGCTTCCCTCTGGTGTTGGAAATTGGAATTAAAGACAGTAAATATTCACAGTTTATAAATTATATTTCGTGATTTTTCGTATACTAAGAAGGAATTCTAGTGAATATTTTGTAAAATTTTATCTTTCTGTACATAAAATTTAAAAATGAAAATATTAAATATGAAAACATATGATTGCTGATTTATCACATATTTTTTTTTAAATATCATTTTTATTAATATAAATTATATTGATGACATCAAATAAAAATAATTAAATATATTTAAAATAAGTATTTAAAGGTGTAAAAACACTTCGTATTTCATTTATTTAATCATATTGATTTTTTTTTCAATTCTTAATGCATTTAATTTACAAATATTTTATGATTTTTATACGTTCTTATAATTCATTTGTTTTATTTTATAAAAACATATTTAATTTTTAAAACATTTTTGTAATAGAATATAAATGATTAAGAATTTATATAATATTAATTATATTAAAAAGTAATTTCATTATAAAACATAAATAAACAAATTTTCATAAAAATTTTATAAATTTTATGTATATTGATTTCCATTATTCTAAATTTTAATGTAAAAATTTTTAAAATTTTAATCTATTATATAAAAATAAAATCCATCAGAAATTGTTCAGTGATAAATCAATACACGCGGTACAATTATAAAATATTCAATTTTTTTTTAAATCAAAATTTATCTATAAATATTTATATAAACTAGAATTTCAGATAAGTTTTATATATTTCTAGAAAATATAATTTGAAAAAAAATAAAAGAAAAGAAAAAAAAATTCACTCTATCCACTAAAATTTTGTTTCTTACCACTATGAGAACTCTCAGAAGAATTTCTTCTACGAATTATAATGCAAACTAAAATCAATAATGATAAAACGACAGCAAACGATACTAATGCAGGTAGTATGATATTCAAGTCGTAATAAAAAGGTAAATCTTCTGATTCTGCTACAGTTGAAGGTGTTATGATGTCTGTAAAAACATAAATTTAATTAATAAACTTGATGAAATATTATATACAGTACATATATATATACACACACAAATCATAAATTACAAAACTTCAAAATGACAAAATGTCTTTTGCACCTTCAGCTAAACTTTACTTATTCATCATAACATGTGCAGAAATAATTCCTGCACTAGTGTATGAGTAAAATCTTTAAATTATATCTCGCAAGCAAGACAGGCTGTCAACAGTAGAAGTCTACTCATTATCTAGAAACTTTATTAAATTACTGTTAATCAGTCAAACATCATTGATACGAACGTCAACATCTTTCTAACTTTACAAACTTAGTTGTGATTTTTAGTAAATTTATCATTCGTCTACAATCTGTCTTTCCAGTTTAACATGGCCATCACACTTAATTAATTTTACTTAAATTTTTATGATTAAAAAAGACGTTTTAATAATTAAAAGTAAATATAATTTTTTAATGTACTTTTTCTCCAATTTAATTAGAAATAATAATGCTAAATCTCAAGTAATTTTACACTAGGGTGGCCAAAAAGTCAGTTAACCGTACTTATTTTTGTGTTTCAGGTAAGCTTGTGAGTACGAATTGTAAACTATGTTTAGAATAACGTATTTTCGTTTTATAAAATAGGAGAAAATATGATTAAAATGTAATTAAATCAGTTGTGTTTTTTAGTTAATTACAATTTAGTCTTTACAATGATTAAGTGACTTTGAGCCATCCTGTATATTGTGTTTATTATTGTTTCTTAAATTAGATGTATCTGGAAACCATATTGATTTTTATGCTTTTAAATCAATTGTCAATTTGTAAAATCGAAAATTAATATTAACACATTAAGCACTTAACATTTCTAAATATTTACTTCAAGATAATCATTTATATTATTTTATACGGCTTTATATAACAAAATTAATTATTTTCTTGTCAGTTATTATTATGATTTTAATCAAAAAATCTCTTTTATCAGAAACAATAATAATAATAATAATAATAATAATAATAATTTTATTGAAAAGAACAGAAGAAGTATCCAATTGTTTTTTCTGGAAATCACGAATTCTCTCCATTATTCATAAAATTTATCTATTTTATTTTCAATATGTCAAAGTCAAAATTTTTTCAAAAATATTTTTTTCTATATTTTCAATATAATATATATATATATTCTTCCCCTCGATATACTTGCCTGCTATATATGGTACTGTTGCAAAAGTATATTCCGCTTCCATGATTCCCGCTTCATTATGCGCAATTATCTGAAGCTGATACCAAGTACCGGGTGTGAGATCACTAACTTTATACGTCCTTTGATCGATAGATACTTTATCGGATAATAAAATCCAAGACTTTTGTCGTTGTGGTCTATATCGCAGAGTGAAATACGATATCGGGCATCCACCATCGTGCCATGAATCCAAGTGAATGATCACGTAACTAGTATTGGTTGTCAACAGGGAGGTCTTATCTGGGGGCACCGGAGCTAAAAAGAAAAATTACTTATTACTTAATCGATTATATAATACTTATTGCATCGCATATTCGTATATTACGTGAATTGCCGAAAAAATGCATTAGTTTAAATAAATTGACTCAAAATTTATTAACACGCTAATCTTATTCACTAAGGATTTTCACAAGATTATAATTTAAGATGAATTTAACGACTTTTATTTAATTTTAGAAGTCTACATATATGCAATAATTTATAAATTTAGTAATAAAATATTGTAGTAAAAAAATAAAATAATAATAAAAGAAACAGAACAAAAATCGATTGTAATTTTACTTCGAGAATTAATTATATCTCGATTTTAAAATGGTAACTGTTATATTTTATTGTAAAATCTTCATGTAATTATTTACTTTGAAGTAAATTATATTTCAAAATACAGTAAATAATTACAGAAAGTTTTTCGATTAAATTTGCATGTAAAACTAACATATATTTAAATTCAATATAAAATTATAATTTTGTTAAGTTGAAAGTTTAGAAATTTATCTTTGTCAAATAGCCAACACCAATAATTTCCGACAAACTTTCTTCTAATAATAAACAATTGATTATTATAAAATATAAAATTAAATTTTATCAAAACATTTCAAACTAAACAATTCAAATCAAAGAAATCTTTTTATATATTTTAAATTAACCAATTTACACCAATCGGTTTTGATTCTCCTTCATAAAATTTAAGATAATTGTGGAGTTTTAATCAATTTCACTATTTTAAAGCTTTTTTCCAGTTTTCTATACTAAAATATAAAATAATTTATTAATATCTAATTAAATTTTCAGATTTCACCAAATATTAGTTTCCTAATATATTAATAAATACTTCATTCGAAGGATATCATCAGCAATTATATATATTTATGATTTTCTCATTCCAGTTAACGTTCTTTCAATTAAAAGTCTTAATTAACTCCCAGAATCAATATCAATCAAGAACTTGTGCTATTCAGTTTTGATGATTGAAAACTGTAATCCAAAATTTCGATATCTTTAATCTCTTCCTGATAATTAGCATTATTAGAGACTTTATATAATGGCATTTTATTTTCTTACAGTGCATTATCAACACAATTGTCATCATCCTATGGTTACTATGCATCAATCTTCCTCAAGGAGGCATTCCATCACTGTGTTGATAATGCAGAAACGTATTTTGAGGAAGATTGATGATAACTAAAAGAAGATAATTTATTATTTATCCAACATCTATATATTTATCTAAGACACAAGGAATAAACAAATATTATCAATGAGATTTGCTTGATATCTCCGAAACAGCAACAGGAGTATCTTCATTAATTAAACGAAACATTTCTTTTCGTTATTTAAAATATTTCAGCTCGATTTGTAATTGGAATTAATTTTAAAGAAACCAAAGTTTTATTTTTAAACTAAAATGTCTTAATTTCATTAATTTAAACTGACAAAACTTTAATAATATAATGCAACATTTCAAGAACTGTTTGGTATTAGCTAGACTAGATTAATAAATTTGTGCTGTTCACGATATTAATGAATTAACCACCTTAAACTAACACTTATTAATTAAATTTAAACAGAATAGAAATGTACTGCTACTAAAATGATTCAAAATGCAAATGAATATGTGGAAAATTTAGAAATTCTTTAATAGAAATTACATATTCTATGAAAATACAACTAATATTACAAAAATAGGAACTTAAAAATAGAATAAAACACTTATTTTCTGAATATATTGTAATGGCGTATAAGGAAACGTACAGACGTGGGAAACTGACACGACATTATCAAAGCGATTCAATGTGGGGTGTGGACCTATCTCACAACAATATTTGCCTCATGCTGTTTATGAGAGTGTCGAAAAGTGCGGTGGTTAGTAATTGTCATTTCTCCAGGCGCACTACAGAGCTCCTGGAGAGTTTTGGATGGAGATTGGTAGAAGCAACACATCTCTCTAGAGCATCGCATGCATGTTCAATGATATTAAAACTAAGAGAACAAGCTTGTAATCTATATGTGGCAAATTATATTGTTCTCGTGATACTTGTTCCGAAATTTATTCTTGATATACGAAACGATTGAAGCTTTCTTAAAATTTTATATCCTCACGCTTTATTTTTATTTGTACTTTATATGTCATATGCATATTTATGCTATAGACGAAGATTAAAAGAAATAAATCATATTCTTACTTCGAATTTCATTTAAAACATATTATAATTTAACTTTTTGTTGCATTTAACTTGATTATTTCCTTCAATTTTATTCTGCAAAATATACAGGTTACATACGCAAGATAACTGTGTATCGTATATTTTTTAAATGTAATTTTTATATATGTATTTTGATACGTAGAAATTCCTAATTAATATTATTAATTAAATCAGAAATTGTGACGTCTATATATGTTTTTTTCTTACCTATTCATAATATTACTTTGTTAATTTTAATAGAACACACATGACTATAAGACATTATAAAACTGGAAAATATTATTTAAAAACTTCAAAAATAAATGCATTAATTTACTTATTTTATATAGTATCTTATTAAGCAAGTTGAAAATGTTAAATATGCATAATAATCTATGATTAATAATAATTACATTCGTGTTACTTTACATATCTTACAAATAATAAGCTTAGTTTCCTTTCCTTTCAAATTGTTGAAGATGTAATAGTCTTAATGAATTGATTTAAATAGTTCAAATTACTTTTAAAACTAGTAATTCATTTCTGAAATAAAATATTTTAGATATAATGAAGCATAAATTCGGAAGTGAATGTATATAATGAGAAGCTTATCGAATTAAAACATTTTTCTGATAGAATTTTCAGTAGTTCTTTATGTTATATAATTTTTGAATACTTATTAATATAATTCACACAAATATTTAATAATATTTTAATTTTTCCAATAATTTTTATAAAAAAGTAAATAAATTTATTAAGATTATCATCATTATCACAAAAACGTTTTATAAATAGAAATAATGGAATCAGGTAAGGTGAGAAAATGTGATGCAATTCCAATAAAATTCTTCTGAATTATTTATTATTTGTAATATTAGTTATAAAACAGAATAATTGAGCTAAATGAAATCAATAAGTTATAGTTAGCTATATTTAATTCTGCAATACATTGAAAACGTTTTAAACCAGTAAAACAGAAAAATATCTATTATATTATATAAACTTATAATGATTATCACTCAATATTGCTTAATTGTTATACAGAAAATACTTTATATTTCTTTATATAAAAGTTAAAACGAATTTATTATCCTTCGGAGAATTGCTAGATGGAATGTAATTTAACAATTCTTTTCTAATTTCGGTTAGTTTAAAGAAATCTTTCTGCAGAAACGTTCTACCAATCCATTAAATGATTTATAAGATGGAGAAAATAGCAATTGATAAAGTTAAGAAGCAGCATGTAACATGGCTGATGAATATTTTTTCTTTTAACAATTATGATTTATATTCCGAAATCATGTTTATCTTTACTAGTTTACAATCTGCAACTGATCAGCACACAACACACGTTAAATAAATAAATATATATAAAGGATTGTATATATTTTTAGAATATCAAAACAGAAAAATTTTGCCAGGAAAAGTTTTAATGCAACACACATTTATCAAGCTTCTAAAGAATGTTCTCTAGCATAGATAAATGGCAAATTCTACTATGGATTATGCATCCCGACATGGCTAGCCATATAGTCTTTGTATGCTGGTACCATGAGCTATAAAATCACCAAACCATCTAAAAAATGACATAAAATTCTATTTATCCTACATATGTTTGAAATACAAGCCATATATTGTTTACAATCTACTAGAAATTTTTACGAAGTCAATATATCAGTAAAAATTTAAATATACAGTTTTGTTTCACAATCAGATACATTTCTTGAAATATGTACATAAATGAAATTTTATTCAGAACGTCTGAATTTATGTCAATACTGTTTTGAAGAAAGAATGTGTTATTTTAGCATATTTTAAAGAGAAATTATTGAATAATATTTTATAATCTCTTTATAATCAGAGTCAGATAATTCAATTTCTAAGCAGTGATAAATTAAGAGGAACGTTAGTATAGAACCATTAATTGAAAATAGCAAGCGAATTCTTTAAAAAAGTACTTAATTAACTAGAAATAATATAATAGCCAGTCGTTTTGATAACAAGAATGACGATAATAGACTTTTCCAATGGGTACATTGAGGATAATGAGCCTTTCTGATGGCAACAGTGACATTTCGTCCATTATTGTTATAAATTTTTACAAGTAAGGACTTCTAAACTCCATTACAGTTTACAATTTATTTACACTATAATTTTTCAGATCTGTAAATTTGTCTAAAGCCATGTTCTGCTCTTTGGAATAAAGACCTATTTATTTTCAGATCAAACGAAAATATCGTATTTTCTAAATAAAATTGTTTATATCGGTAATATAATGTTAAAAACTCAGCTTATGTTTTGACTAATTTTGCAATATAATATATTTATGTTTAGAATATAATAATAATAATAATTATTATTATTATTATAATTGTATCATTTTAAAACTCGATAATGTTTTTATGTATATTATTTTTTGTGATATAAATCAAGCAATGATAGAAAGCAATAAAAATAAATGGCAAAAAATGATTTAGGACTATGAAAATTATATGAGAGGAATTCTATTGAGATCATCTCGTACACAATTTTCTTTATTAATAGCATTTATGTTAAAGTTTGATAAGGTACGAGAAAAATTTATAGCTATCGTTCACCATGATTTATGTACTGTACGCTATTCAATTTGCATATTTGATTATCAATAGCTAAGATAGAATGACTATTGAAAATAGATATAAATCTGTGTTAATTTGTTTAAATAATGAGTTTATTTTTTTTAGATTTTTATATTAAAAATAGGTTAAGGATACGTGAATAGAATCAACATACCATTTTACATGTAAAATATTA